AACTCATACAAGGAGATAAAACAGATGTTTCACATGGTGAAATGTGACTGATGAAAACTTAGGAGCTTAATCCCACACCAGTTTGACAAGTCTGACTTTTTTTTTCACATTGGACTCCACTGAGAAGAAATCCCGTGCATACTGCCTGCTTAAATGTTCACTACGTCAGAACTTATTTGGCAAATGTGTTTCCATCTATCCTTTGGTGAAGGTTTGCACTCTCAGAGTGCTTCTGGTTTTGATATAAGATTTATTTAATTATTTTTAACTTTACGTAATACCTTTGTCATGATTATTTGGACACAGGGTGGAAGCTTGTCATAAATTTTTAAATATATACAGTATGTATTTATAGGAGAGGACTGAGTGGTCTAAGTGGCGCATGCAGCTGTGCTCTGTTCCACATAATTTGGATGTGTAAAACAAAGGTGTGCAAAAAATATACAGGAATGGACTTGCCAAGTGAAATTCATACTTCTAAACGATCATTGCACTGTGTCTTTCGTMGAAATCATCTTCAATAAATTGCTGCTCTCATTCTGTCCTTGGCCTTGACCTTGACATCAGATGATATAGAGTGTCTCGTTTCACCAATTAGCCCTTGCTCCCAGCAGGAAGTATGTCGTTAGACACTGACACCAGGACACAAGCGCTAAGAAATCCTGTCCACCCAGAAATCAAGTCAGCTTTACTTTTCTATTTTCTACATTTCTATTTTTAATTTATTCATTTTTCATGATAAATCCCAAATGCTATTTTCCTTATTTTTTTTAAGTGCGCTTAAGGCAATTTCTTTATGAAATATTACTAGAAATAATAAAATGATTAGTGCAGGTAGACTGATTGATTGGTTGGCCTTAATTCTTATCCTTCAGTGCTATATAACTTTAATTAGGTTAATAAAAAAAATCTTCTTTTACAAGGGAAATGTGAATAATTTGCCATCAGTCATGCTGTGTACCTTTAATCAATTTTAATACAATTAACATGAACAGAATATGATTTAAAAGTGCTCTTTAAAGGTTCTGACTTCTATAATAAACATGCTTTTTACCGTCATCATCAATCAAACTATAAATTTTCAGAAAATAAAAAAAAAATCATTTTATTTCAGTTTTATGAACAGTGTGGTCGTAGTTCACTAGCTTCTTTTTGACACCTTTCGTTGGTCAGCCACCCATAAATACAAACAGAGTTAATTCATGAAAACACACAAGAAAAACATTTATTACAAAATTAGTGGCAAGGGACAAAATTATAAACTTTTAATTGGTTGCACTAATTTCTAAAGACYGGTGCCCACCATTGCAACATCCTGATTGGTTGTGATGGTGATTACTTCACTCTTCACTTTTCAGCCCGGCAATGACATAAAAACACTAAGCTGCCACACCTGTCTGCTGTCTCCATTAATTCTTCAACCATAGGGGTGTGTGTGTGTGTGTGTGTGTGTGTGTGTGTGTGTGTGTGTGTGTGTGTGTGTGTGGGCAAGCGAGAGGAGGCGGAGTTGGTTGAGCATCATTC